TGGGTTACAACGCGAGTTGAGTCGTCTCGATTTTCATTGTGATAGTATGTTAATATCAACCATATCAACGTATCAAAATATCAATGTGCCTTCAGACTTCGATGGCTTCCAAAAACGCGTAGAACCACTTATCGCGAAGAGTGAAAATTCAAGTTGAATGATTGAAGCCTCAGTCCTAACCTATATATATTGTATAATATATGGCTGGAAATATATTAATACGGTTGGTAAAAATGTTGGAACCTAAGCTAATTAACGCGTACAACGAATATTGATTTAGTCAAATACTGTCGACATTGTTTTGTTGTTCAATAATTTTAAGTTTCAACATCTAATTCTTTTTTTCGTATAATATAATTCAAATATGATCTATTCATATCTGTATTGTAGGTACCTATATGGCACTTTGAGACGACAAAATTACTCTCGTATTAAAGGCTAATTGAATATTATTATATATCATTTTTTATTTGTCTAAGATTGGAAACATTCGGCTTACAGACTTTAAATCTGCGTGACAGCGTCCACGTCAATCAAACATCTGGAGAAACATTGTTTGTCGAACGTTAGCCCAATGTTCATAAAATGTTTGTAAAATGTTTGCTAGGTGTGCCAAGTGTCGACGTAGATTAATAGTTATATACGCCGTGTTTGGTTGTTCCATTATAGTTTATAACTTATAAGTATATATTATTATTTATAAGTTATAACTATTAAAAGTATTTTGACGATGCTTTCAATAATTTCGATATGTGATTTTTCCATTAAAGTATTCTTAACAGCATATGAGCCACAATCAAATTTCCGATATTAATTACTTATATTATATTTAAATTCGTTATTTTATCAAATAAACGGAATAAAATGATGTTACCACGAATAGTTTCATAGTTTTGGTTATAAAGTGTGTGAGTATATAATATTATGTATGTATATACAATATATTAAAAATATGTATTACTTTAAATGTCAACCTATTATTATGATTTATGGCGTGCTCATACCTTGCAAAAGTTTGATGTTTGCATAATGTAAGGTATACTATACATTGTGCAGGTATACCTACATCCTTATATATATACATATATTTTATAAAACTTCATAATTTCAAAGCTATTCATGATATGCTTCAAAAGTATTTTGACATTAATATTGAAACATCTTGAATGTTGTTCACAATTATTATATATGTAATATAATATAATATTAAAATCAAACTAAAATCAAATTTTAGGCGATATTTCTCGGAGCTGTGAACGTGAGTTTTGAAGTGTAGTATCAACAAAGGCATAATTACACGGCGTGTGCATCGTACAGCGTCCTCTTAATTGCCAAGTACATTATTACATTTACCTATAAAAGGCGACAAACAAAATTACTTTCAGACCTTTATGTTTTTGAAAATTCAAATTCAACAGTAGGTTAGGACATGTAGGTGCTACTTGTGCCAGTGCTATAAGACCTCGTTACTACCCACCACATATTATATGCGTCAAAAATGTTATCGGTTTATAAATTATACGCATAAATATACATAATAATATTCTAATAATATACAATGCGATGAAAAGTCGTTTACGAATAAATACAAAAATAATTCATCCGTGAAAGCTTATTCGATATAATATAAAAATATTTTAAATTGAATTTCACGTGTCTTTAAAATTACAATAGATGTTACAACCATATAGTATTTTAATACTACATTTTAATTGAAGCGATTGGAATAGTTGAAATCTTCGCAGATAAAACAAACAGTATATAATTTACTGTACTAAATAAAACTTAAAAAATGGTCAGCTAGTGTATAAAAAATTTTAAAAGAATTATATTATCGACAACAACGAAGTTCAAATACTTTACACGCAAATAAAACAAATTTATTTATGTAAATCGAAGCTTATTTTCAAGTTTTTACGGTAACAGTATAAACTAAACTTATTTACTCATAAAACTACAGAATTTTTCAACTCTCTGAAAAAAAAAACGATTTTGCCTTGTTCGAAAGTATAAACATAAACGTTAAATATGTTTACCTTCGTCCTACGCACAAGAATTAAGGATATAGTAGAAAAATAAAATAAAAATAATGAAATATATTTATTTAATTTAATTTCCTTGAAAACAAATTCTAACATACTGAACCTCGATGAGAAATACTTGCTTGGAGGCCCTAATACTGTGATTGGATGTTAAAAAAAACTCATTAAAAAGGACAGCCGGCATTTAAACGTCGGCGGACTTTTATTAGGTCTTAGCTGACCGAGGTATGGAAAAAACGGTCGAAAAATCGTGGTATTCTGATACTTTTTCCATCGAAAAGCGGAAACCGTATCCGTTTTCTTCCCTCGATATTTTATTGGAAACGATACTGCGGTGACACAAATGGTTTTAAAAAAATACGCAAAAAATGTCCCAAATGGCGATAAATAATAATCCGACTGGAATTCGGTTTGGTCACTATGTTATGTGTAGTACGAACATAACATTTTATTTCGTCCAAACGACGCTGTGCCGTGACTTTAATATTACTATCATTATTACAATATTACTATCATTATTATTATTATCATTATTATTATTTTAGAGTACGCACACACGCCGACACAATCGCTCGTACAGACCGGACCGGCTTTACACGCGTAACACAGGGAATGAAACGAAACGCAATTTCCCCTCGTCAATAACGATAATAATAATCGTTGTTATCGTGTTTTTACGTTATTAATATTTCCACTTGTTGCGTGTTTTTTTGTACTAATTTTTTTCATTTCACGTTTTCCGCCAACTACGACCACGACGACGACGACGGCGGCGATTCCTCGCGCGATATATCATACGAACATAATAATATTATCATTATTATTATTATAATATACCTTCCAACCTACGTTACTACTAACGGAGTGAATTTCGTTTCGAAATTTCAAAGTGACGGCGAGGGGGGACACGCGGAGCTTATATAATACGTATAGTATCATTATCGTTATACAGTCGTCCTCCTCCGATAGGCAACAGCAGCAGCAGCAGCAACAACAACACAACAACAACAACAACAATAATAAATTATGGTAGCGTTTATTATCGATTAACGGGTCGCGGGAGGGGAGGCGATACCTTCCCCGCACCAATCGTTAACACACACCTCCACGTACATAATAATAATAATAATATGTATATAATTATACTCGCACAAACACACACACACTTGCGCACACGCACAACCCGTCCACGACGTTATTGGTGATTAGATATTTTTATTACACCACACACAGCTCTGACGCACTCGCACGCACATTTCCATCGGATTATCCGTCGGCGGCGTCAGGCCGTCGGGTCGGCGTGGCGGGAGGGAGGAAGTCGCGCACGCATAATATTATTATTATTATACACAGCGTTATTATTATAATATTATATAATATTGTTATTATATATCGCGCGCTGTCTCTGCCCCCGGGGGTAGTACATGACGTGTCTGTAACGAAAGAGCAATAATAATAATAACGCGTTTCCCGAAACCGCATATATATATATATACGATCGTCGTAATAACACTCGTGTTGAATTGAATGTGTGCGTGGAGAGAAAAAAAATTCTATCTGCCCCGCGTGCACGCAGCCGTGGCTGTGGCGGCGGCGGACACGGTTTTCCTTTTGTAGCCGAGCTGAATTTCCAACGACGACGACGACGACGCACGCATAATACGTATGTGAAAAAAAATAAAAAAAATAACAACAACAACAACAATAATAATAAAACGCAGACGGCGGCTCGGCCGTGGCCGTATAATATAATAATAATAATAATAATAATTATTATTATTATTATTATTATCGGTGCCACCGGAATCGTCGTCGGCAGTTGTGCGCCGCACAAAGCCTCTCCTCCTCCTGCTTGCAGTGCAGTCGTCCTCCGCCACCGCCGCTTCCGCCGCATGAAGCATCCCGCCCCGCCCGTCCCGCTCCGTCACCGGTCCTCTCCGTCGTCGTCCGCGGCGACGTCGCCGCTTTCGTCCGTCCTCGCGTACGACTCCGTCGTACACGGCCGTAGCCGGTCGATTCTCGCAGCGGGGCAATTAACCCTTTGATTCGACGAGCGGTTAATCATATTATTATTATACGCAGAGTAAGACCGACATGTTATACATATATATAAATATAATATATACATGCTCGGTCGTCGGATTATTATTATATCGGGTCACGAACGTTCGTCGTCGGCCGCGAGTCGCGAAGGCGGCGGCATCTAATTAGCCGACGATATTCCGGTGATATTTATCCACAGCCGCCTCCTCGGCTTATATACATATTATTATAATATTATATATATATGTGTACACTGTACACACACAAGTCGTAAACGCACACGCATCACGCAGTTCGGTCGCACAGTACGGAGCGGCGAGCTACGCGACGGCGGGGTAGAGGGTGTCCCCCTTGACGGCGACCGAACGAGCACGCACGCACACGCACGCACTTGCCCGTCGTCGTCGACGACGCCGTCGTTTTCACCACCGCCACCACCCGTCGCCGATGCGTCCGCCGCCCGCCAACGACGACGGCGAGGTCTAGCGGCCGGGTCACGGGTACCGTGTGTGTGTGTGTGTATTTTTTCCCATTTTTTTTTTTTGCGTCGACGGCGATATAAGTTGTCGTGGCCGGGGAAAGGGGTAGAGGATCGTTCGGTAGAACGATGGCGAGCGCGAGGCATGTGTGTGTGTGTGTGAGTGCGGTGTCGTCTGGCGGATGATGAGGAGGAGAAGGTAATGTGCCGCCGTCGACGAACGACTGCTGTGCGCGAAATAATTGTCGTCGCACATTATACAACGGCAGCAGCGTCGGCGATGGCAGCAGGAGCAGCAGCAGCGAAGCGTGCGCGTTCTATACGCGAGAGCTGTGGGGAGCAGCGGACAGACACGGTGTTTGGCCGACCGTTAATTTGGAAAGCACATTATATGCGTATAATAATAATAATAATGTATATTATGATGCACACGGCGGTCATGTGAATACATTATTCGCGTTCGCGTCTGTACGACCGGCGGACGGGAGGGCGGAATGGTGAAGGTCCCGCGGCTGGTTCGGCCGACTGCTGCCGCTTCTGCTGGCACCACCACCGCCGCCGCCGTCACGACCACGATATGAGGTTTCTGCGGGAAAACGCGGGACCGTGCCGGCAATGAGACTCGGGCGACTACGGCGACCCGAACGTGACACGGATCGCCGCCGCCGCCGTCCCAGGCGAAACGCCGCGCGGTAAAAGGGCTGCGGCGGTGCGCTCTTGGTCAGAGAGACGTCACCCGGTAACACAACACCGTTGTTTCCGCCGCCGCGCACCATTGTTCATCCTGTCGGGTCGCCGCCGGCGGATGTTAAAACGATCGGTCGGCTGCGGCGGCGGTGAAGGCAGTTGCGACGGCGGCGGCACAGCGGTTGCGACGCGCCGGTGGCGGCGGACGAGGCGCGGTGGCGGTGCCGGCAATGACGATGACGATGATGATGGCGATGACGATGACGGCGGTCGAACGACCCTCGCGCGCGCGAGTCACGCCACACTATACGGCGGTTCCCAATACGTTTTCCACGCACACACACACGTGCATATAATATATATAATATATATATATATATATATAAATATATAATGGGTACACACTGGCATGTACACGCACGCACACCCGCATGCACAAATAACTTGGCCGTGACCACCGCCGCCGACGCCGCCAGTCGTGTGTACCCCCCGCCGCCACCGTCCACGTTTTCATAATAACTACGACGACGCCGCTCGGGTTTTTATTATTATTATTATTATTATTATTATATATAATATATATATATTTTTTTTTTGCCGCAGCCGTCGCCGCTGCCGCCGACCCTCCTATATAATAATAATAATAATAATAATGCGTATATACCGCGACCGTCGGCAGCGACCGCGCGGCAGAGTAATAACGATAATAATGATAAAAAATAAAAAAAAAAAACCACGTCGACGACGAGAAAAAAACCGGCAGATACGACGCCGCCGCCGCGCGTACTACACTCTCGCGATAACGCGAAACGAAATAAATAAATAATAATAATAAAAAAAACAGTGGCCGAAAAACTGCGACGGCGAAAACCCGACCACGGTCGTATATTACACACGCGCGCCGCAGTGAGAGAGCGAGACGGACGCGACGCGCGTACAACAACAACCTTGAAAAACGGCGGAGCGGCTAGTGTGCATAGCGCCGCCGGTCGTTGATTTTTTATAATATTTTTTCTGCCGCGCGACCGAGTTTGGACCGTCTCTCTGTCGCTCTCACTCGCTGGCCGACGACGACGACGGTTCTTTTCGCTTCGTTTCTATATAATAATAATAATATATAATATATGATTATTATTTTATTTATCCGTACCGCAGCTCTTTTCCTTTTTGCGCGCATCGTTGTCCCGCCGCCGCCGCCGCCGTCACGCGGAATTATTATCGTGTGCAGCCGGCAGAGGCGGTTTTATTTTTTATTACGTTTTCTCTCTCTCTCTCCTCTCTCTTCTTTTATGATTGATAACGTGACAGCGCGGCCGCCGTCGTGCGTGTATGCACGCGCGATCGTGTGTGTGTGTGTGCGTGTGCGTGAGTGTGCGTGTGCGTGGTACGTCGTCGTTGTCGTCGTCGTCGACGGACGCGGGTGCCGCCGCCGGCCATCACTGCTCGCGCTCACCGCGTGTGTGTGTGTGCGTGCGAATTTAGACGATATAATAACGTTTTTTCTATCGCCCCTCTCCGCCGCCGCTCTACTTTACGGTTTCCCGAGAATTTTGCCGGCGAAAAGTAACGCGGAGATAAGTCTCTTCGGGCCACCGTTTTTTTTTCTTCTCTCTTTTTTTTTTTATCGACTCTGTACGCTTGCACACACACACACAATAAATACGTATACGTATATAATAATACTCACGGCTCGAGTGAAGCTCGGCCGTCGCTATATTATACGCTCGTATTTACTATTTATATATACATATCATATAGACGAGTGTCTGCATATATACGCGACTATTTATATACGCGTGTATATACGCGTATATGTATACGGCCCGAACACGTATATATAATATACGTCCGTGCGGATACGTAGTGTGTACGTGTGCGTACGAGTGTCTCTTGTACGGCGTGTTTTTTTATTTATTTATTTATTTTTTTATTTGCATTGCGCGTCCGACGCAATACGAATTCCGCGTGTATTTTAGGCGTGTTCGCGTGGCCGATACGAAACGGATACGCACCGCGCGCCGCGCACCACACTGCACGCTCGTACGCCGCCGCGAAACGACCGAATTACCATAATATTATAATATTATTATTGTTGTTATTTCGCGAAATACAGTTGTACACCCAACTCCGGGGTCGGACACTTTTCGGTCGTCGTCGCCGTTGTTGTACGCGAAATTTTAAAATATTATATTTGTATATAAGCTCGGAGAGGCGTATAATATTAATAATATTATCACACCAATGACAGATATTATAATTTATAATATTATATATATTACAATTAATACATTAGAGTATTAGACATCCTAGTTGATTTTAACGTCAAAGTCGGACGTTCTAAACTGTTCTAATCAAAGAGGCCCTTAGTTACATTTCGGTCATCGAAATTTGAATAAATTGTGATATTATGAGACAATAATACTAAAAAAAGCAAATTGGTTGTTATCAACGACGGAATTATTGACCTTCGACGGACCCTCTGATGTAGTCGTAATGCCATTTTCCGGGCTTCAAAACTGCATTTATGCACGTGCGGGCGTAGAGGAAGTAGTCGGCTATAATCTAGTCGACAGTCGTATAATATAAAAATAATATTATATCATTTATATTATTATCACACCACGCTCTTACGAAACTTCGGCGACCATAATTTTGGCTTGCGCAGAAACGATGACGCTTAGGGCCGATTGGTTGTCGACAGAGATTTCACGTCGTCCGACCGCTTTTCCCGCGACGTTCTCCGCTCGTGCGACGCTGCACACGACGCTCAATAAATGTATTCCATAGCTTCGTGTCCGAGCCAATTAAATTTTTTTTTTTAAATGACAATGTAATCCATGGCTGTGCACCGCACACGTCGATAACGTTTTTCCGGCTAGTCTCGGCTGCCGATTTTACTGGCCGCTCGTACGACGCAAAAGGGTCTAAGCGAGGAAGCGACACTCCGAGCGACCATAACGCGAACGGAGAAAAAAAAATATTATATGTTCTCTAGTTTTCCAATGCGCATGCGTTAAAAGAAGTGTGATGACAAACGTAATTTAAATTTTCAGTGTAAACTACACTTTTATATATTTTTATTCGCTCAAAAAATAAATGGTCCAAAAGGCAATAATGGGGAATAGGTACACGACATATTCACAATTATTGCAAAGGGATTATTTGGACAGGCGACGTTTATTAAATATTGATTTTTGATTTTTTTCACAAAAAAATATTTGTCTTCACTTTATTTTGATGAGGTCAATAAGTTATAATATTTCGAAAATATAATAAGATAAGTGCATTAGGTAAATTATGTAAAAAAAACCAATTTAAAGCATAATCTGCAACAAAATTATTAAAAAAAACGTATTCAAATGTCCGTGTCCGTGTAAATAATAAAAAGCCAATCAAAAATGTTTATTTATATTATAAGGGACGTAAAAAAAGCATGAAAAAAGTTAGTACTCGTCAAAAGTGTATATAAAAAAAAAAAATATTAAAATCACAACAAAACGTTTTTGAAGTTAAACTTCTTATGTGAGGGGTATTGAAAAAAAAGAGAGTGACGCTCGGGCGTCACGGACGCTCGGGCGTCACGGACGCTCGCGCGTCACGAAAACGGTACGATGTTTTGTTTATAAAGTTTTTGATATTTTCCGTTTCAATATTTTGTAATCTTTTTGGAAACATATCATATGATATTATAAACAAACCAGTATAAACGTATAAACCATGATAAAATAACATGGTATGATGGCAACGAACTGAATATCGTCGGAGTTTGCGCATTTCATTGTATCCAGTTCTCCTCATAATGCACATATATATATCATAATATATATATATTGATCATGAAAACCAATGAAAAGCGGCGAACTGGATACAGCTCTGTATGATGGTCGGCGGGGTAAGGGGTATGCGTATCATAAAGTTGCCAGCATACCATGTTATTTTATCATGGTATAAACAATATTCCGTAGTCAAGTTGATAAAAGCGAAAACGCATATATAATAAATATTCCAGAGTGCGCGATAATATAATATAATATAATATAATATACTATTTTTAGGTGAGTCAAATTATGTATATTCAAAATATAACTCGATGAATTTCATCATATTATATGACTATACTATAAGTATTTAATAAATAATAATAATAATAATTAATATTTAGTTAATATTTGACACATTTACAATGACCAACGCACCTATATTTTTCAAATAGTATATAATACTCTGATGGTTCAATTGTATAATGATATGTGTTATGTCTTACTTGGGTTTGTTCCTTCGTAGACAATTTTGAGTTGTTATCCTCTGTTAAAGAATGAGTTCGCTCTCTCGAAAGTACTACAGTACGCTATTGAAACTTATTATTACAGGAATTAAATTTTAACTCAATGAATTTAAATGATAATAATACTTTTATTTTTATGTAAAACGTACACACAGTAATCGAGTCTAAGACTATTTTACGACTGGCTTATGTACTATGCATTATTCGATGGCGACGGACGTCGTCTTACAAAAGTGCTTACCCATCTAAATTCTACGTTACCTATATTATATTACTATAAGAACAAGGGGTTCCTAACACCCCCCATGTAAAATGAAAGTCTATGGCCCATAAAATCGATCAAACAAGTCTGGGCGATGGACTTTCACATTGATTACTAAGTTCTATATTATCATCTTTGTCTAATGTCCTTTCCTTATGACATAAAATTGTATTCTTATTATAAATTATTAATACTAATATCAAACCTATACTGTTGATTAGTATCAGAATAATAAATAAGTAATCGTACGATTTGTTATTTTTGTTTTCATTGACATGACTTATTTGATTCTGTAATTCATCTAGGGATCTCGAATTTTCTACCAATTTGTTAAGATTATTTTTAATTTTGTAATTTTCTTTTGGAAATAATGAATAATTTAAGTTTTCACGGGGTAGATCCTTTAGCATATCAAAATTTATTGAAAGGTTTAAATATGGGGAGAAGTTTTTTACTATCTTCGAATTTATTTCTCTTTTAGGTATTAATTTTATTTCATCGTCAACAGTATTGGCCTCACAATTATTTTCTAGACTTAAAAT